GATTTATAACCACTACACTACCAGAGCTCCTTTTGGTATAGTGACTCTGAATCTTTCAATAATGAAAGTCAAGGTTTGAGTTTTTTCTTCAGTTCTCCCAGCTTGAGAAATGCTGAGTGTATTCTTTCCTTTTGTTTTTTTGAATGCAGATCTTTGCATATTTCATTGTAATATTTGGCTTTGTCTTCTCAAGCTGACTTTTGAAATTTTTTGTACAGCTCTTGGACGTCCTCATTTCTTCCATTTGCTTTAGCATCTCTACGCTGGAGAGCAAGTTTCAGTGTCTCTTCGGACATCCATTTTTATCTTTTTCTTCTTTCTTGTCTTCTTAATGACTTTTTACTTTCTTCATGTGTAATGATCTTGATGTCATCCCACAACTCTTCTGGTGTTGGTCTTTAGTGTTTAATTTATCAAATCTGTTCTTCAGATGATCTCTTTATTCAGGTGGGATATATTCAAGGTCATATTTTGGCTTTTGTGGACTTGTTTTCATTTTCTTCAGCTTCAGTTTGAATTTGTGTATGAGCAATTGATGGTCTGTACCATAATATGCCCTTGGCCTTCTTTTGACTGATAATATGGAGCTTTTTCATTTGTCTCTCAAGGATTTTTATGTTCTAGGGATTTTAGTAATTTAGGTTTTGGCTCGCAGCTAAAAGTGAGTTTTGAGAAGTTCATTTTAAGAACAAATAGTGTAAAGATAGCAGAAATGATTGTAATAAATCTTGTGTTTGTGTCTAGTTGTGGCATTTCATTGAAGAGAGAGCAAGGTCTCAGTCTTTAACCTAAAAGGTTAATGCTTATTTAGCTTCTCAGTGAATTAAGCTATTGTGGATGGTCAATTTTCAGAGTGTTTCAGTGGTACTATTTCTAATACGATTGGCATGAAGCTATGGTTTGAGCCACAGATTTCAGAGCACTGGCTGTAATATAGGCCTGGGCGTGTAGATGTAAGGGTTGCTTGATTTAGTAGACTTGAAATTGAATCGGTTTTTAAGCCAAGTGATGGGATGGCTCATGAATGTAATACATCTTCCGAAGAGATAAGCATGCGAATAGATAGCTCTATTGACAACGAATAGATAGCTCTATTGACAACACAACTCGATGGTTGACTTCTAATAATCGTAGTTTGCCTAGTTTGAGATCATTTGATGGGATTATATGAGTCAAAAGTTAAATCATTATAATCTGTATACTCATGACTTCAATATCATTGATGATGACCCATGGTTTTTACTGTTAAGGATGGGTTGTTAATTTCATCTATTATATATATACAATATGAAGGGAGGGGAGTACAATTAGAATAAGAATAATAGCTGGGAGAATTGTCCAGATGGTCTCTACTTCTTGAGCATCTATTGTATTGGTATGAGTAAGCTTAGTAGTTAGCATAAGTGAAATGATGTAAAGTACTAAAGAGCTAGTTAGGAATAGATTATTAAAGTGTGATCATGGAAATGAAGGAATTAATCTATAATTGGAGAAGAGGCATCTTGAAAACATATTTGGAATGGGTATGCCATTGAGGAGTATAAGGGTCTAATTTATTATTTAACTTTGACAAAGTTATGTAATAATTTTACTAAAACCTCTAATTAAGAAAGTCATAGTGGTTATGGGATTGGCTTGAAACCAGTTTATGGGGGTTCAATTCCTTCCTTTCTTGTTAAGCTTTAATATATGTAGGTTCTTCAAATATATGATAGGGAGGAGGGCAGCCATTGATTCACTCAATGTTGGTTGTGGTTAATTCAACTGTTAAAAACCTCAAGTTTTGATGCGAATGCCTCTCACACAATAAATATTATTAAGATTACTGCTGTTAATGAGATGAAAGATGAAAGATTTACAGCCTCGGAAACCCTGTGCAGGGTCACTATGAGTCGGAACCGGCTCCACGGTACTTAACAACAACATAGGGTTTCCGAGGAACCACTGGTGAGCTTGAATCACCACCGACCTAGTGGCTCAAGCTGACTTTGCAGTCCAGCGCATTAACCCACAGCGCCACACCAGGACTTCTTGAGGGGGATGTTGTTGTTGTTAAGTGCCATCTAGTAGGTTACGACCCATAGCGACCCTGTTGTAGGGTTTCCGAGGAGCAGCTGGTGAGCTTGAACTGCCAATCTTGCAGTTCAAACGGCTTTGCAGTCTGACTCATTAACCTACAGCGCCACACCAGGACTCCTTGAGGGGGATGTTGTTGTTGTTGTTAAGTGCCATCGACTCGGTTCCGACCCATAGTGACCCTGAACAGGGTTTCCAAGACTGTAACTCTTTAAGGAACAGAAAGCCTCAGTTTTCTTTCTCCCGTGAAGCAGCTGGTAGTTTCGAACTGCTGACCTTGTGGTTCACAGCCCGATTCGTAAGCACTACGTTACCAGAGCTCCTTTTTTGAGGGGGGATGGGGGGATAGGAATTCGTAAAGATCTACACCTGTAAGAATTCATGAGCCTAGCATTGGCAGGAGTTCCAGAATCGGTTTCTCGTAGGTGATCGCCTACCACGCACGCCGCCCCGGGTCTGCAGTCCAACAGGAGCGCGGCCTCCGATTGGAGAGGGTGGTGCATGCCGGGAGCGTCTGTGTCTTCCAAGGGCTTGCTGGTAGTTGTAGTTCATATAGCCGGAAGTGGGGGTGGCAGGAACAGAAACCACAGCTGAGGAAGCCGTCACTGCTACTGCCGCCACCCGCAGATAGTACATCACCCCATGCTCACCCGCCGTGGGTGCCTAATTCATGCTCAGTGGGCTCGGGGAACTCTGGGGGACGAAGCGGCAGGGACCCTGAGGCGCGAAGCGACGTCGCAACTCCTGATGCGGCCGGAGGGCGCAGGAATGGAGTTCGGCGACTGCGAGGAGCGCCTGCCAGAAGAGAGCAGGTGGGTGTGGAGTGGGTCAGAGTAATCTCTGAAGTTGAGGAAGGTTGATAGGGCTAGAAAGGCGAGGGGAGAAGTGCTGAGCGGGACAGATCTGAGGGTGACTGCTGCGGGTGATTGAGATTTTCTGAGAGGAAGGAGCTGCCAATGCCTGGATCCAACGAGGGAAAGGGCTTAATGAGGGTGAGGGTAAGGTGGATAAGGTTTGTTGAAGGCAGGCGGAGCAGAAGTACGTGAAGCTCAGGTCCAGGGCTGCTGGAGAGGAGGTGAATATTGAGACCCTGGGAGAAAAGGACTGACTGAGGTGTCGAAGTGAGATTTCATAGGCCAGAGTCTATAGATAGGGGTAGGGCATAAGGTTGGTGCCCTGACAGAAACTTGCGGTGACAGCAAAGTTGATTGTCACTCTACTGAAGGTTGATGTAATTTCTGGTTTGACGTCTTGATTGAGTGGCCTAAGACGTTGAAGTCGGGATGAGTGTGGGGGAGACATCTGGAAGGAAGGCCTGTGGATGATAGTCGGCGATTGTAATGGCAGTAGGGTAGGGGCGGGGGTTTGCTGATGCCACTAGCAATTGTGCTGCTGCCTTTTACCAGTCTTGGATCCCCGTCAGCGAGTGGCAGGAAATCTTTGTCATTTCCTTTCCAATTTCAGACTCCTAACTTATTCCCCACAATGCAGACTAAGCAATTTGACATTTATGTGAGCTATTGTCAGAACAACAATTGTCAGAAAGGAGTCTTGATGTGATGTAGGATGAACGCTGGGCTGCTAACCACAAAGTAGGTGTTTCAAACCCACCAGCCGCTCCTGGGAAACCCTATATAGGGTCGCTATGAGTCAGAACCAACTCGACGGCACTTAACATCAACACTGTCAGAAAGGGGAGCGCGGTAGCTTTGTAGGCTAAGCACTGGGCTGCGAACCATAAAGTCAGCGGTTTGAGCCCACCAGCCCCTCCGCCGGAGACAGATGAGACTTTCTGCTCCGGCAAAGATGTACAGCCTTGAAAACCCCATACAGGGTCGCTAGCAAAATGGGTCAGGTGGCGCGGCTCAACACCCCAAAGGGGGGCCTTTTTGATCCTACTAACGAATCAGGCTGCGAACCGCAAAGTCAGTAGTTTGAAACTACTAGCTGTTCCGCGGAAGAAAGATGAGGCTTTCTGCTCCCCTAAAGATTTACAGCCTCGGAAAACCTGTACAGGGTCTCTGTGAGTCGGAACCGACTCCACGGCACATAACAACAACAACAAGCCGCTCAGCAGGAGAACGATGTGACAGTATGCTTGGTAAAGATTTACTGTCCTGGAAACCACGTGGGGCAGTTCTACTACATCTTACAGGGTCTCTAGGAGTTGGAATTGACTCCAAGACAAGGGTTTGGTTTTGGATTGTCAAAAAGTTCAGCCCTTTGAGAAATTAAGAGATTTAAGATTCAAAAAATTAATTCAGTGGTGAATTGGACGCTAGCGGTTCTTTCATATTTAGGGCTTGCTTCATTAGTACTTCCGGTCTTTTCCTCTTTTGAAGAGTTTGGAATGGAGAGAGGATCGAGCAGGAATGTGACCGAAGGGACTTACTTGACTTTCAAAAATAGTTTCAGATATAGTGATGGTTTTAGGAGCAGCTGTGATCTAAAGACTGAAGGCAGAATATATACCTCTGAGAATGTATCAACAAGAAAAAATTAGAGAGGTTGTGCTTGGGTGCAGATGTGGCTGTTTTTAAGAGTGCTCTTCTTTTATGTGCCAAATAGCTTGTATAAACCTGGACTGACACAGCTTTGGGGCTCCTACATAGGACCTATTAATGATGTGTACTAAGTGAAATTGAACATCTTACTTCCCTTTTCCAAGTTTCAGTTTCTGCTTATGCATGAATTTGGTATTTATTCTTCCTCCAGATGTCTGTGTTTTATGTAAAAGGTCTCATGTAGATTCTAAAGTTTTTGATTATGATTTTCCTCTTCCAGGAAATCATGATCATAATGTGGGGGACGTTTGGTTAGAAATTCAAGGTCAAATTTCTTCCCTACCTAGCTGGACATCTGAGTTAGGTTTTTTGATTTTTTCAACATTTTATTGTATTTTAGGCGAAGGTTTACATAGCAAATTAGGTTCTTCTTTTCAGTAGTTCGTACACAAATTGTTCCATGACATTGGTTGCCATTGGTTGCCATCTTTGCCATGTGTCAACACTCCCCATTTCTATTCTGGGTCCCATTTCCATTCTCACTCTCCCCATTTCAACTCTGGATCCTGTTTCCATTCCTTGAGTCAGAGCTCCTTAGCATGATAGTCAATCAGTACTTTAGTCCTTGTGGATTTCCTAGTTACAAAACCATGGTCTTATACCTCCTTCTTTGCCATTCTCATTCTTGCTTCTCTGCTTTTCCTAAGCTATTCTTACCTAGGAGAATTTTTGTTGTTAGGTGCTATTCGGTTGATTTTGACTTATAGCGGCCCCGTGTGACATAATAGAACTGCCCCATAATCTTAGTGCTTTAATCTTAATACTCTCTGCCTTGTGGAGTTTCTGGGTGGGTTCAAACTACTAACTTTATACTTAGCAGCCAAGTGCTTAACCATTGCACAACCAGGCCCTCTTGTCATTCTTAAAAACAAGTTTTTTTCTGAAAGCATCTCTGACTTGCCCTTTTTCACGTCTGGTAGCATTTGTTGTTAAGTTGGAACTGACTCCATGGCCCACCACCACCATTATTATTATGTGGTCCTGGTGTGACGCTATAGGATAAACACTGGATAAAACCACAAGGTTGGCAATTCAAACCCTCCTTTTACAGGGTTGCTATGAGTTGGAACTAGGTTGCACTTAATAATTACTATAGCAAAGATCCCTGTTGGCACTGTGGGTTAGGCATTGAGCTGCTAACCATAAGGTAGACAGTTGAAACTCACCAACCACTCCTTGGGAGTTATCTGTTCCCTTTAGTTTTGGAAACCCTACATAGGGTCTCTATAAGTTGGAATGGACTTAATGACAGTGGGTATTATTATAACACTTCTCAGCCCTGGTGGTACAGTGGGTTAAGCTCTCTAAGCCATGGTAGCATAGTGGGTTATATGTTGGGTTGCTAACTCAAAGGTCAGTGGTTTGAATCCAGAAGACACTCCACGTAAGAAAGATGAGACTTTCTGCTCCCATAAAGATTTATAGCTTCAGAAACCCTATACAGGGTTGCTATGAGTTGGGATCGATTTGTTGCCATGCAGCAGTAGCAGCTAACTGAAAGGTCGGTGGTTCAGGAAAAAGATGAGACAGGTCTGTTTCCATAAAGATTTGTTGTTGGAACCTGTGCTGTGGAGTCCGTTCCACCTCCTAGTTGGTCTATACGCAATAGAAGGAAACACTACTTAGTCCTGTACCATACTCAGATGTAAAGGTTGAGAGCCTAGGATATCCTATGGAGCAGTTCTACTCTGTCCTGTAAGACTGCTGTGAATTGAAGTTGACTGAACAGTGTGTTTGGTTTTATTTTTTCACTTAGTAGCATAGTTGCTTAAATGTCCATTTCCCACATTATATTCTGAATTTGCTGAGAGATGAAGAGCCTTCCTCTTTCACCACTATAACTCTGGTGTCCAGCACAATGCCTGGCATAATTGGTGTTCAATGAATGTTCATTCAAGGAGTATAAGCGTTAACAATTAGGTGATGTCTTATACAGCTGGGCAGGTGCCAGTAGTACTGTTGTCATTGAAAGGACTTCATTTTTTGCTCTTTCTCCCTATTCACTTTCACTTTCTCACATTTATCTTCAGTTCCTATTTTCTTCCTTATCTTTCCCTTTGACCAGGATTGGTAGCAAAGCAGGAGAATTATATGACTTTTGAGCAGTTCATGTTGGTAGTCCAATTATTAGTATAAAAAAGGCATAAAAAAGTACTCTTTTTGGGAAATAGAATTCATTCTGCTAATTTTGATCAGATTTCCTTCTATAATCTATGTCTTTTGCTTGTCTAGACAAACATTCAGTCCTTGCACATATGCATACACACATACTCCATTCTTTGCTGTCTCTTTTTTGGGATACTCCTCCATCTAAAAAAGCAGAGGTTTACTAAATATATTCTGGTATGTTTCTATGGAGCTGAAAAATAAAACAGTGCTGTCTTTATATCATGTTTTAATCGAACAATAGTATTTTCAAAAAGAAGACAGTAAGTCTCTTGGGTTTTGATCTGGAACATTCTAAGATGGTTCAGTATGTGTAGAAACATAACCTTCAAGCTTTTGGAAAACCTGCTATTGTCAAAACCCAAGAGGGAGGATGGAGGAGCTGACTGCAAGGACTGATACCTGAAGCTCTTCTCAGCCTCTCTGTACCCAGTAGATTACCTGGATGGCACAAGTGGTTTGTGCTCTACTACTGATCTAAGGAGCTCTGATAGCGTAGTGGTTACAAATCAGGCTGTGAACCTCAGGGTCAGAAGTTCAAAACTACCAGCTGTTCTGTGGGAGAAAGATGAGGCTTTCTGCTCCCATAAAGATTTACAGCCTCAGAAACCCTGTACAGGGTCACTATGAGTCGGAACGGACTCCATGGCACATAACCACCACCACCACTGATCTAAAGGTTGGTGATTTGGACTCAGCCAGTAGTGCTGGAGAAGAAAGGCCTAGTAATCTGCTTCCATACAGATTATGTGTTGTTGTTAAGTGCCGTCGAGTTGGTTCTGACTCATAACAACTCTGCATAGAGTTTCCAAGGAGTGGCTGGTGAGTTTGAATAGTGGACTTTGCGCTTCAAACTGACCTTGAGGTTCAGTGCTTATCCTATAGCGCCACACCAGGATTATAGCCAAGTGCAAAAAATTGGCACCAGCCATTCCTTCCACAGTCCTCTCTATTCAGCTGGGTTCAATAATTCGCTGCAATGGCCACACAGAACTCAGATACCATACTCACAGTTATGGGGTGGTGCTGTGAGATAAAGCATTGGAGTGCTTTAATCACAAGGTCAGTGGTTCAAACTCACC